AATTGTATGTTCGGGAACCAATTCCTGCTCATACAAGATTACAGATTTGTTTAAGATATCTAGCAAGTGGAGATAGCATGAGATCTATAGGATATGCCTTTCGAGTTGCTCCAAATACTGTTTCACATATAGTTCATGAAGTTTGCTCCGAAATCTGGGATAAGTTAAAAGATATAGTCTTGTCACTTCCAAGCAAAAATGAATGGATAAATATTGCAAAAGATTTTGAAAAAATATGGAATTTTCCTCACTGTCTTGGAGCCATAGATGGGAAACATATTGTGATAGAGGTAAAATATATTATTCTTTTTATTAATCAATACATCTCTTGCAATATAAAATAATAAATTTTATATTTTAAGATTGTATTTTAAGAAATATTTGGAAAAAAAATTTTTTATTTAAATTTCAGGCACCCCCACATAGCGGTTCCATTTATTACAATTATAAAAAAGATCACAGTTTAAATCTTACTGCAGTTGCAGATGCAAATTATAGATTTATTTTAGTAGATGTAGGAGCAGAAGGTCGTCGTAGTGATGCTGGAGTGTTTGCTAATAGTGCAATTAAATCAAGACTAGAAGCTAACACATTGAATGTTCCTGAACCTTCAACTTTTGGTCAATATAAATTGCCGTTCGTGTTACTAGGCGATGAAGCATATCCACTATCTCCATATCTAATGCGTCCTTATGCAAGAAGTTCCCAACTTGATTTAAGAAAAAAAGTATATAATTATCGACATAGTAGAGCAAGACGCGTGGTCGAAAGTGCTTTTGGCATACTTGCAGCGAGATGGCGAATTTTTCGGAGGCCTATTAATACATACGTCTCAAAAGTTGAGAAGATGGTACTTGCCACTATTTGCTTACACAACTACATCATAAGTAAAGAACTTGAAAAACGCCCTCAAGAAAGACGTTATTTAATGTATAATAGCGATAGACAGTGTACATCGCTTGGAATGAGAAATCTGTCAAATTATAATATGAATAATCTTATTTCAAGTAGTTTATCCAATGAATATAGAGAAAGATTTACGAATTATTTTGTTAATGAAGGTGCTGTGGAATGGCAATGGGAGAAAGCAGCGAATAATGAGTTTTAAGCAAAATATTTATTACAAGTAATTTAATACAAAATGTATAATAAAATATATAAACATAAAATATTGTATTAAACAAAAAAATAAATTTTATGTATTAGAATTAACCCTCTGGTAGTAGACTGGGTCTAACAGACCCAGACGTAATTTAAAAAAATTTAAATTAAATTAAAAATAAAAAACTAAATTCTGATAGTCTACTACCAGAGGGTTAAGTATTATAATTTGTCTTCTACCAAATTAAAAGTAAATAAAAAGTTTGTATGAAAATCAATATTATAGAATGCCCGTCTTTTCTTCTGCTTCAAATGCTAAATTCATAATATCTTTTTCAAGTATTCTTCTGTCTCTATAAGGCAATTTATTCATAATTGCACCTAGTTGCATTAGAAAGCCTTCAATACCATCATTATCTCGTTTATTAGCGTCTGATAAAATTTGTACAATGCTTTGTTTAAATTCAGCATCAACCGATTGTTTCCTTGTGCCTGAAATATTATGAATGTATTTCATTACATTATAAATTATTATTAATAAATACAAAAATATTTTTATATTTGAATCATTGTTATAAATACAAAAATTATTTTGTTTTAAATCGTAATGTTTAACTCTAATGAGACTAGTTTTCAAAGTTACGAGTATCTTATTATCTTAAAATGAACAATGATTTCTAGGTATTCTTCGAAAGCTGTTCTGAGTCATATTTATAGGATTCGAATAAAGGTTCATGTTTTCAACAGCTCTTTAGAAGTAGTTTTATTTTATTTATTTAAGTATAAGACAGTCACTTATCTTTATTCAAACAGCGAGACTCTGTACAGTTTTCAAAGTTTGAAACTAATAAGTATCTTATAGCTTTTGATAGCTAATTTTAATTTAACAAATTGTTTAAAACTATTAAACTCATGTACCTTTATTCAAATCCTAATGAGATTCAGAATTGTCTTTTGAAAGTAAAATGAACTGTTTCTAAAATTATAACATATGAAATTTATAATTTCTTAAAAATAGCTTACGTTTAGTGTGCTCTTTAAACTGGTTATGATCAAATGAGCTGCTATGTCCTGATGTTTCACCAATGGAATCCATGTCAATAGATTGTCCATTTGCAGTAGAAAGTGCATCAGAGTTGCTTACTTCGTTGAGGTTGAAGGAATCACATGAATCTTGTGAGATATTGCTCTTTGTACTGCAATATTAAAGTAAGATTTTTTAATAAATATAATGTAAAGTTGAATTGTATTACAATTTATTCTTATTTAAATATTATCTTTAAACTCTTACTTACGGTCTAGAATTTATTGAGTCGTTCAAAAATGTCATTTGATCATAAAACCGAAAACTGTCATCGTTGTCTGATGCTGATGCTGCTGAGCCACTAGGTATATAAGCTGTTGCCTTCTTTCTTGCTTTCTTGTAAGAATCTCTAAGATTTCGCCAACGTTTCTTTATATTCTCAACCTCAAATTTATCTGAATATATATATATATACATATTTATTAAAATATCTTTTTATAATAAAAAATTTTTTTAATTAAAATCAATATTACCATCTAATTCTTTTGCTACTTCCAGCCATGCTTCTTTTACAATTAATGGACTTCTAAGC